AATACTCTTGCGAAACCCCACACACGGGCTTCTTGCGTCACTTGGTCCCCATTGACTGCACACTAAATTTACCAACCTGTTTGATGAAATACTTGAAGCCATTAATAATTAATGGCAAACAAATTCCTGAAGTCTCTACAAGAGTACTACCGGGAGAACTTCCCGGGGTACAAACTTCGCATTACGCAAAGGTTGGTAACCGATGTAGCGGACGAAGTAGAGACGAGTAGAATAATAAATACGCATTCTAGGGCCCACAGAAATCCAAAAGAGATGAAGTTACAAATCTTGGAAAAATTGTATTTCCCCAGAATGACCAGCCGCATTAGGTCGTTGGTCTCTTCTTGCCGGGCTTGTAAAATGTTCCTGCCAAGCCGGAATTACAACTAACCCCTTTCCCCATCCCTAATTGTGAACTCCTTTTCGATCGATTGTAATTTTTGAGATCGGAAACTGATGTAAACAAATGATGGGGCCAAGACCTTTCAAACGATTTACAGCATTCCCAGATACGATTCCATTTCCATTTGACTTCACAAGCGGATCGCGAAATTTCAATGCAAAAACCGGTGTATCAATACCAAATAATATTTTTAAAGATTACAAAGAAACAATTTAAAATAATTAAGTACACAGGGACTATTTCTTATGGCTGGCATAGGAACGTTCCAAAAATATATTCGCATAAGAATATATTACATTTAAATCGAAACTAAAAAAAAGTCACAACCTTAGTTTCAAAATAAATCAGTTCTGAATAATAAAAACAATAACATTTAAGGAAAAACATTTTTAAATTACACAAAACAATTTTTTATCTGCACAGATGTATTTATTTCTGGAATATGATCAAAAAGAGTGGAGATCTATCAATCCTAAAAACTACGAAATTTAAAAAAATTCACTATTTTTTTCAAGGCTCTGGTGCTTTTTTTCAGCATAGTTACTTATTTCAGCGAAAACGGATTAACATAAAAACCCGAACTTAATAACCGAAATTAAGTTAGAGCAAGAGGAACATTCAAACGCAATCTCCTTTATACACTTGCAGAGGGTAATATAATTTCAGTCGAAAGTTTACAACGCAGTGAAGGAGACATTTCCGACCCTATAATTTTTTTGTTTTGTAGCCAATCAGAAATATATTTTTTTAAGAACTACTACTTTTCATTACAACTTGGCTAGTTTGGTGTTAACGAGCGGCTGCAATGGCAGATGACCATCGCAGGGCGGTACGTTGGAGGCCAGAACGACCCGGTGGAAATCGTAGACAATATATATATTGATTAGCCTTTCCATGAAGTTCGTTCACCGACCCAGGCAAGATGATAGATTGTGTGCAAGTGAGAGGCTCCTTAGGATACAGTTCATCTCCAGGAAGCACTCCAAACATGCGGTCATCGCAGCGATAGTAAACGGGCTGCACCATTGTGCTTCCTCGGCTACTTCTTTGGCGGGAAAACTTAAGAAGCTCCTGCCAGCTATGCAAGTTCGTCAGACGTGCGATGTCATAAACCAACATGAAAGGAAGCCAAATGGTGCCATCCTGGGAGTTTGTCCAGGCCTCCGTCGGACTCATCCAGTGGGCTCAGGCCACTTCGTGAGGTTCCAGTAGAAGACTTACCTCATTGACCTGCTCATCCAGCGTGGTGACATAGTAAACAGTGTCATATTTTCGATTGGCTGTGGCTGCTGTCCTCCAAATGGAGCTCCAGAAACTGTGAGGCATTATTGTGAACTCCATGCTGCCACTCAGAAAGATCGCTAGGCTCTAGGATCAAAGTCCGAGGATGTCTGGATTTGGAATCCGAAATTTTCAAGGTGTCCTGATTTGTGCAGATCAGGATGCCCACCTCCTCGAAGGTTTCCCTAAGCTCAGTCAGCCGCAGTGCGATGTCCCTTGAAAAAAGTTTTCTTCTGGACAGAAATTCAGGCCTGGGATTATCCTGATTGTGTCTGACCTTTCTGAATTGGTCATCGGTCACGCCAACGGATTTGAAATAAGTGATCCATTCCGGAGATTCATCCTCTCTGGGATCAAAAACGACGCCAGGGAAGACGCAGTGATTCAATGCATAAGAAGTAGCCTCAGTTCGTTTGATCAAAAGTAACCTGTAGTCATACTCTTTTAATGTATCATCTTTGGCAGCCAATATTAGGCTAGCCGAAGGTCTGTAAGATCCAGTTTAAGTAGCAGCTGCCATAGTTTAGAGTCCACTGCCATAAAATTTCCTGCTCGACTAACATAAACCTTTGATCTCAATAAGTAAGTTGAGAGAAACGACTATTAGATATCATTGCTAATAGATTTATAAATAATAATCAAGCGATAATATTTAAAGATTAGAAAATATGGAAGCTAAACATTTGTTTTAAACATGTCGGAATTATTTTTTTGTTTTTTAAAATTTTAACCATTTATTCAACAGGTAAAACGTAAACAACAGCTGGTGAGTAATCGATAATTATATATATTTTATATATTTTTGATATATTATATATTTTTGATCAGCGTCACCAGAAGAGTCGATCTAGCCATGTCCGTCTGCCCGTCCGTTTGTTCGTCAGTCCGTCTGTCCGTTTTTACGCAGTCTAGTCCCTTAGTTTTGAAGCAGGTGTACATAAGTCGGAACGAGACGGATCGGCCTACTATATCATATTGCTCCCATGGGAACAAAAATAAAGTCATAACTTCGTTGTTTTTTATAATATCTGAATTTACTCCAAGCTTTTAAATTTTTTTATAAGCTTCAGAAAAACAATCGCGAAAAAGGGAAATAAAAAAAATCTACCCCTATACTCAGAGATATAGTAATTTTTAGCCGTTTCAGAATTAAGGTGTTATAAAAATCAGACGACTATTTCATGAAGATGCTATACGAAAGATCAGAAAAGAATGGGCAAATCAACACAAATTCAGTGTTTTTAAACAAATTCCGAAATTTTTGAGATATAAATATTGTTACAATTGTAAGCAAACGGTTTCCAATTTATAAAGATCCGACGAATATATGATATTGGTCCCATAAATCGGAAAATTGCGATAACTTTGTTATTTTACAACATATTTTTGCATATTTTCGTCACTACATAACTGACAATTTTTCATACGGTTTCAGTTATTGGTCAAAATGGGTCATCTATTTTACATAGCTGCCATAGATACAATTGTTCTATTTATAGGCAGGAGCCAAAGCTTATATACCCTTGCAGTTATAACAAACGACTACATTTCGTTTTCTATTTTACTAAAAACATTGAAGCTATGTCGATTTTGCGCTGCATTTTGCCATCGTTTTTTTGGCAACTACATATATGAAATTGTTTTCCGATTTTGACAAAACTAAGAGCTTAATTCTGATATAGTAAATAATTACTATATCTCAAAGGCATATTTTGATAAATAAAAAACAGCAAAATAAATTTTCTTTTCAATTTTATTTTTTTTAATTTTTTGATTTTCCTATGGGAGCTGTATGATATAATAGATGTCCAATTTTAAAGTCCCAAAGAACAAAAAAAAATTAAAAACTACTTTATAAAAAGGAACACTTTTGGAAAAGTTTTAAGCAGATAGCTTTAAAACTGAGGGACTAGTTTGCGTAAGATCGTTTGACGGACAGAAGGACAAACGGACGGATATGGCTAGATCAACTCTCCTGGTGATCAAGAATATAGGGCCGGAAATGTTTCCTTTACTGCGTTGCAAGCTTTTGACTTAAATTATATTACCCCCTGCATGGGTATACAAAAAGGTTTTTCCTTTTCTATACTGTTGTAGAGGGTATTAAAATTTTAGTCAAATGTCACATTTCTAATCCTTTTCATATATTTTTTCGAGATCAGCCCGGTAATAATAAAAACAAGAGAGAACGCTATAATCGGGTGCCCCGACTATCAGATACCCGTTACTCAGGTAAAGGGAGTGCGAGGGAGATGGAGATAGAAACTTTGATCACGCATAACTTTTTAACGAATGGTCCGATTTGAAAAAATTCTGCTACATTTCGATAGGTATTGATAAACACAATAAAACTGCATTTTTACTTTTCCGAAATATTTAAATTTTTAAAATCGTATATAAGCGATTGTGGGCGTTAAAGGGGGCGTGGCACCATTTTGAAACAAACTTGCGCTGCGTAGGAACTCCTAGAATCTGCATGCAAAATGCCAATCTTCTAGCTTTTATAGTTTCCGAGATCTCAGCGTTCATACGGACAGACAGACGGACAGACAGACGGACAGACGGACAGACGGACAGACAGACGGACAGACGGACATGGCTAGATCGACTCGGCTAGTGATCCTGAACAAGAATATATATACTTTATAGGGTCGGAAACGCTTCCTTCTAGCTGTTACATACTTTTGCACGAATACAATATACCCTTTTACTCTACGAGTAACGGGTATAAAAATGGATAATTGAGCTTAAATTAAGTTCAAAATTTGGCATGGCAGAAAAACTGCCACAATATGTACATATGTATATATATTATTATATATTATATTATTATAAAGGCGAAATGCCTCCATTAAGGCGTGTGTTTTTGTCATTATGAAGGTGATCATTTCATTATTTAAATCTTTTATTTTTGTTTCTGTGTCAAGTAAAAGTTATATTCTTGCATCATCATGTAGTAAAATGAAACGATTCCAAGGCATTCCAAGGCTTTTGGGAGGGTGCTGTTATATTTTGATCAGTTAAGGACACGTATTGCCGCAGAAAAACAAAAATTTCATTGCCTTAAATAAAAATTACTAAGTATATAGAGCCTTTTGTAAGTGTTCTGAATCCAGCGCCGCTTTCGACACGCTCTAGTAAGGGCGACACCTGTATGTAATGTAGCAAACGCATTTCAGAAAGTTAAAGTTTGCAGGCACAAGATAAGACTCTCATCAGGGTTTTGTCAATTGTCATGCGCACGGAGTCGAGCTTTTCATGCCTGACGCAGCTCTTATAAAAAAATGTATTCGATGTGTTTTCATTGGCATAAGTAGCTCGATATTAACTTATACGAACATATTGCTTAAAGAATACATTTGTTTTTAGCTAAAATTTACATAGCTTGTTCGATTTGTACAATTCAAGGGAAAGGCCTAACATTGTTAAACTACAATTTACAACCAATTTTGCAAGACCATTTATAAGCGGAAAATACTTTACTATTATGTGTTAGATATCAGTTTGGTTCACTGCATTACTATTTTGAGGACTCCGGCAGCTACAACCTCAGACGCCTGTATTTTTTAAAATATAAACAAAGAAAAGTGTTTTACAAAAATATGCAGTTATACATTAGTTGAAACGTAAAATATGTGCAGATATAAAAACAATTTATAGGCAATCAAAATTGAACTTTTGAAATAAAAGTATACGGTTATACGTCAAAAAGTTTAATACATTTACCAGTAGAAAAAAATTTTCAAAACTGGTATTAAATATTTATTATTGGAACTGTTCATATAATATTGGTGTTTTATTACAAGTCTACTTATTAATATAAAAACAAGTTGTTATGTGTACATATGTCTTGACTTAATCTTATATAATCATGTTTGAAAGTTAATTTCTTTCGGATTAAGGTGCGAAGTATTATTAAATTTAAAACTGTCTTTTACTAATTCGTCTTTGCAGATATGGCGAGCATAGTACTAATAGCGTGTTTGGCTGTTTTGGGTCTAATTATTGCCATCGCTCTATTTCTGGCTGGCGGATACTTATGGTGGAGACATAAAAGATCCCAATTACAGTTTATTGAGCCAAACGAAGACGAGGAATCCAGTAGTTATAGTCTTAGGTAAGTTTCAATATTAATTTCCTAGATTCCTGCAATGGTAAAAATTCTTTTTATTAGTTCCTCCCTCCTGGTACTCGAAACATCTATCATTGTACATCAAAAACTTTATAAATTTTATAAATGATTAGTGTATCCATTTTTGTTTACAAACTACATACAATTACATGAATACAGAAGATTCCGTGCAGATTTAGACACCCAACTGACCCAACAATTTTAATCTAATCATTTCCATTCCTGATCGTTTTAACCATTTAAAATTTGGCTCGATACTAACCGAATAGAGAGGTCCGAAATATGTGGAAATAAATTGTTCGATACTATCTAATTATTTTTCTGCTTGCACATATTTCGGTAATTACTTTATATACATACCTATGTCTTTCTCTCGTTCGATCATTGACTATTAGATGTTTGGTGAGAGCATTACAAATGGTTTTTTCCCAAAGACATACAAATGTGCGCGAAATTCAGCCAGTAACGTTAAGGTCATAAGCACCCAAGTTCTTGTGCAAGGTCAAAAGTGAACATGGATATATGTACATACATCTACATACAAATTTATGCATTCACTGATCTGCATTGACGAGCAATATCTACAGAGAACAACAAGATGAAGTTGGTGACTGTACCAGAACAAAAACGGAACCGAGTTCGGCAATATGACGGCGTCGTAAAATTTTTCTACCAAGGTGTCAACCACCACGACAAAGGTTCTTCTAGCTGAAGTATAGGATTTTGGTAGAAATTCATCTTTAACAAGAAAATTACTAAAGGCTATGAAGCTATGTCGATTTTGCTGACGGGCAGTCGGACGGGCGGATAGACGGACGGACGGAGAGACGGACATGGCCAGATAGACTCTCCTGGTGATGCTGATCAAGAATACTTGACTGAAATTATAATACCCTTTGCAAGGTTATAAAAATCATGTACATATATGTATGTACATATGTACTTGGAAAACTAGCTAATACCACTGATCCAAGCTTAATTGAGCTGTTTGTCTTTAGAGTAAGCTCTAAGATTTTAAGACAAATAATGTACAAATGAACTTTAACGTAGTCAAAGGGATCGGGATCATATTTAACAAATTAAAAACATTTAAATTAAGAAATAATATTTATGACTTGTACGAATTTTTAACAAACCAGTAAATATAATTTAAAATGACAAATGCAGGAAAATATTTGGTAATAAAGGGACACAAACAGAACAAGAGAGAACGCTATAGTCGAGTGCCTCGACTATTAGATACCCGTTACTCAGCTAAACAACTTTAGTTTTTGCATTAACATAATGTGAATTAGAGTGACCACAGGAACAAAGAACAAGGACAAAAAGTTCAAATTATCAATTTGAATTAGGCGTTCTCTTAGCGCTAGTAGCTTTACAGCACGAGCATCAGCACCAGCGCTGCTTTAGCGCAGGCAGCTTTTGTCCTGCACCAGCATACACACATACGCCATTGTTTGACTCAGACCTCCAATTTGACTAACTTGATTTGATTTGCATAGTTCTTGGGATATAGTTCGGTATTGACAAATGAAAACCATCGCAATTTCCTTTAATAGAAATCCTTATCGAGAATTAATGTTGACTCTGTTGAGCACCTTGGCCAGCTGTTCCAAAGTCATCCGTTAGATGGCGCTATTGTATTGCGCCATCTACCCGGGCCATGAAAGGCGGAAATGTAGGCGCTAGCCAGGCTTAAGCGTTTAATGAGTTTTTGGGCGTTAGAGTGGGCGTGGCAAACTTTTATTAGGCCAATCGATAGGTATTGACGAAACAAATACATATCAATTAAATTTTTCATAATAGCATCAAAACTGTGGCCACAGCTTGTGGCTTGTGAGCGCCAGAGGGGGCGTGGCACCATTTTGAAACAAACTTGCGCTGCGTAGGAACTCCTAAAATCTACATGCAAAATGCCAATCTTCTAGCTTTTATTGTTTCCGAGATTTCAGCGCTCATACAGACGGACAGACAGACGGACAGACGGACATGGCTAGATCGACTCGGCTTGTGATCCTGAACAAGAATATATATACTTTATAGGGTCGGAAACGCTTCCTTCTACCTGTTACATACTTTTGCACGAATACAATATACCCTTTTACTCTACGAGTAACGGGTATAAACATTGAATTACAAAACAAATTCCAAAAAATTACTGTTTAATTTAAAATGGTATTGTTTTTTAATTTCTTTGTACACCGACACTCTTCCCAAGGTACTTGAGAATATCCGCTAAGGGCCATTCCCTGCAAAGGTTTTTGGAATTTTCACTGTTTGTTAACAAACCTAGCTGATTAACAGAAAGCACAATTCTGATAAACTATTTTGTAATGACCGCCCTAAATGAATTTCTGCCGATAAGGGAACCGTTGGATTATTTTTATACCCTTGCAGAGGGTATTATAATTTTTTGTTTTTATACCCTTGCAGAGGGTATTATAATTTTGGTCAAAAGTGTGCAACGCAGTGAAGGAGACATCTCCGACCCTATAAAGTATATATATTTTTGATCAGGATCACCTCCTGAGTTGATATAGCCATGTCCGTCTGTCCGTCTGTCCGTCTGTCCGTCTGTCTGTCCGTCTGTCTGTCCGTCTGTCTGTCCGTCTGTCTGTTTCTACGCGAACTAGTCTCTCAGTTTTAAAGATATCGAATTGAAACTTTGCACACACCCTTCTTTCCTTTGCACGCAGTATATAAGTCGGAACGGCCGGGATCGGCCGACTATATCCTATAGCTGCCATATAACTGAACGATCGGAAATGCCATAACTTTGGTGTTTGTAAAGTTAGGAAGTTGGGATTTTCTATGGGTTTTGTATTTGGCTAATCAATCCGACATGCCGAATTTCATAAGGATCGGCCGACTATATCCTATAGCTTCCATATAACTGATTGATCGGAAATGCCATAACCTTGGTGTTTGTAAAGTTAGAATGTTGGGATTTTCTATGGGTTTTATATTTGGCTAATCAATCCGACATGCCGAATTTCATAAGGATCGGCCGACTATATCCTATAGCTGCCATATAACTGATTGATCGGAAATGCCATAACTTTGGTGTTTGTTAAGTTAGGAAGTAGGGATTTTCTATGTGTTTTATTTTTGGCCAATCAATCCGACCCACTAAACTTCATAAGGATCGGCCGACTATATCCTATAGCTGCCATATAACTGAACGATTGGAAATGCCATAACTTTGGTGTTTTTAAAGTTAGGAAGTTGGGATTTTTTATGAGTATTAAGAATGCATCATATGAATAATTTTGGAGAATATAATTTACAGAGTATTCTGCAAGGGTATATCAACTTCGGCTCCGCCCGAAGTTAGATTTCCTTTCTTGTTTTTTTTTGTTTTTAATTTGGAATTTTTTTTTTTTTAATTTTGGAATTTTCACTGTTTGTTAACAAACCTAGCTGGTTAACAGAAAGCACAATTCTGATAAGCTCTTTTGTAATGACCGCCCTAAATGAATTTCTGCCGATAAGGGAACCGTTGGATTATTTTTATACCCTTGCAAAGGGTATTATAATTTTGGTCAAAAGTGTGCAACGCAGTGAAGGAGACATCTCCGACCATATTCTTGATCAGGATCACCTCCTGAGTTGATATAGCCATGTCCGTCTGTCCGTCTGTCTGCCCGTCTGTCTGTCCGTCTGTCTGTCCGTCTGTCTGTTTCTACGCGAACTAGTCTCTCAGTTTTAAAGATATCGAATTGAAACTTTGCACACACCCTTATTTCCTCTGCACGCAGTATATATGTCGGAACGGCCGGGATCGGCCGACTATATCCTATAGCTGCCATATAACTGATTGATCGGAAATGCCATATCTTTGGTGTTTGTAAAGTTAGGAAGTTGGGATTTTCTATGGTTTTATTTTTGGCCAATCGGACCTACTAAATTTCATAAGGATCGGCCGACTATATCCTATAGCTGCCATATAACTGATTGATCGGAAATGCCATAACTTTGGAGTTTGTAAAGTCAGAAAGTTGAGATTTCCTATGGGTTTTATTTTTGGCCAATTAATCCGACCTACCAAATTTCATATGGATCGGCCAACTATATCCTATAGCTGCCATTCCTTTTTAAAGTTAGGAAATTGGGATTTTTTATGAGTATTAAGAATGCATCATATGAATAATTTTGAAGAATATAATTTACAGAGTATTCTGCAAGGGTATATCAACTTCGGCTCCGCCCGAAGTTAGCTTTCCTTTCTTGTTATACCCTTGCAGAGGGTATTATAATTTTGGTCAAAAGTGTGCAACGCAGTGAAGGAGACATCTCCGACCCTATAAAGTATATATATTCTTGATCAGGATCACCTCCTGAGTTGATATAGCCATGTCCGTCTGTCCGTCTGTCTGTTTCTACGCAAACTAGTCTCTCAGTTTTAAAGCTATCGAACTGAAACTTTGCAGACGCCCTTCTTTCCTTTGCACGCAGTATATAGGTCGGAACGGCCGGGATCGGCCGACTATATCCTATAGCTGCCATATAACTGATTGATCGGAAATGCCATATCTTGTAAAGTTAGGAAGTTGGGATTTTCTATGGGTTTTATATTTGGCATGTCAATCAGACCTACCAAATTTCATAAGGATCGGCCGACTAAATCCTATAGCTGCCATTTAACTGATTGATCGGAAATGCCATAACTTTGGTGTTTGTAAAGTTAGGAAGTTGGGATTTTCTTTGGGTTTTATTTTTGGCCAATCAATCCGACCTACCAAATTTCATAAGGATCGGCCGACTAAATCCTATAGCTAAATTCTAAACTTCGGCTCCGCCCGAAGCTAGCTTTCCTTTCTTGTTTTCTGATGATCCAGTAACAAGTTGTGCTTGTCACCGCAAAACCTTTTATCTTGGAGGCGACTACGAAGCTCTTTTTTTTTATAAAAATTTGTGATAGTTTAAATGTTGTACTTTGATATGCTAATAAAATAATTGATCTGACATTAACCGTATCTTGAGAAAAAATTTGAATGGCCCTATTTAACTAGGATTGGGCGTGTTGTTGTTTATTCAGTGAAAAGTTGTATATAGAAGCAATTTCCAATTCTTCCAATAAAAAGTTATCTTATACAAAAATATATTTAGAATGGCAACAATCGAGTTTTTAAAAATAAAATGTTTTCAGGGCTGCTCAGGACATTGTTGACTCTGGAAATCCACCTACAAAACCTCAAGTGCCGGCAACGCAAGCTATCACAACTCCTCTTCAAAATAACATTAACAGAAAATTAAATGGGTTTTTAAGTCTTAGAACTCCTTTGATTGGGTAGGTATTTTTAATATATATCGTACATATTCATTTATTGCAATATTTTTTAAAGTGGTTCGGGGACTACACAAGCAAAACCACAAAATGCTTCTTCGGTTGGAAACGTTGGAGATGGGACTACTAAGGATTCCGCTGTAAGTAAATGGTACCTAAAGCCATTCTTGAGATATATTTAATAATTGTTGATGTTTGCCCTAATAACATTTAATGATTAAAAGAAAGACATATTCTGTGCGATCTTATACATTTATACTTTTATACGAAAATTATCCATTAATTCAGCCTCATTGAAAAATGGTTTGGCTCCACTGTCAACATACCGTGTGTGGGTGGTTTCGGCGTGACAATTTACCAATTAGTCCTAAATGGTGGTTTATCGCTCCTAACCGATTCTTTGAGTCGATTATTTTTCTGAGCAACCCTTAAATCCTGACACGAAACATTATACGTACATACGTCAAATTGGCAACGGTCGGCTAACGAGTTGAAATTGGAACACGGAGGGGCTTATTTTATTTTAAAATATTTTCGCAGTCTTAAAAGAAATTGAAAAAAAATAAAATGCAAATATGTAAGTAAAAGAATATCGAATCTTTTAAACTAAGATTTTAAAAGAAATCATTCAAAAAATTGCTTTAAAATATATTTGGTAATAAATCGGCAAATACCGTCAAATACCCATAGAGTCCATCAGTTCGAAATGGTTGGAATTTTTGGCAAATGTGAAACTCCGATTCCCACAGAGCACATCCATTATCAAATAACAGCTGATTTGAACAGCTGTGGCTAATAATTCTAGCCTGTTGCATTTTGAACAGCGCTATAAATGATACTTGGTAACAGACTGCAAGAGAACTAAGCGAACAACCACATTTTTGCCAGCCTGCAGGAAAAGTTAAATATTGTCTTAATGGTAACAAATCAAGTTCATTAAATATAAATAGTTTGGTTTTTTGTTTTATTATAATTTCATATATCATTTTATTTTTAATGTCAAGGATGACAGACAGCGAAGCTCAATTCAATGACATGATCTCGGTCTGCGCTCGCTGCTCCTCCAGCCTTTCTCGAGCACTATCTCCACAAGCTCGGCATTGCGGTCACCCTTTGCGTGATTTGCAGGTGGCGCAGAATTGCCTGAATTCCGCTGCAGAGGCTTTCATGTCATCGGGGTCCACATTTAAGACCTTTACAAAGTATTTTCTAATACCTACAAAAAATATATTTTATTAGTTAATTGAAAACCACAAATATAAGTATGGAGACATACTCTCGTTCTCCGAGGTGTTCTGCTCCATGTTGTGACTCTTAATGCTGCCACACGGATGGAGGCCAACGGCTTGGCCCCAATTTTTTCCTGCCTGCAAAGAATAATATCGTTAAATGAGTTGCCAATATATTGTTGCACGCATATACATAAGTTACCTGTACTTACACACACATCACACCCAGCTTCCATTAGGGACTGGGCCAAATTCATGTACTGTATTATCGACTGTAAAACAATGAAATATTATTGATTTGGGTCCTTCCATTTTCAAAAGTTCCCCGTCATCACTGCTTACGTTTTTGTAGTGAATGTTACAGTTTTAACTGTTAAGAAAAACATTCCCTACATATCGCAAAAAAAAATCCGCGTATGAACGGGTTTTATCACAACATATTCGACCATTATTTTAAGAGCCATCACCCACATCTTTTATGTTTTTGAGAAAACTGCTCCACAGTGGCAAACGAACTGATAAATAACAGGTCAGCTCCATGCAAAAAAAGTCAGTAAAACTTGAATTCAATTGCCGTAGCTAATTTTTTGCAGGTATTCTGGGTACACCAGCAGAAAGGGGGAGAATTAAAGAAAATGTTGGCGAACTTTCAAGAAAAACGAGGACGGAAGCTACCTTCGGCAAGCCGAACTTATAAAACCGAGACTTTGCCAAAATTGCTAAAATTGAAAAAGTAGTGAAAATAATAAGGTATACATAAATTAAAGCTTTTATACTGCAAAAATGTCATATAAAAATATAAAAAAACATATTTACGCGGGCTTTAACAATTTTTCCTACGGAAGCTATAAGATATAGACGTCCGATCGACAATCGCTTTTACCCTTAATTTTTAACCGATTTCACCCTATTGTTCCTATGGGAGCTATAGGATATAGACGTCCGATCGGCACGCGCTTTTACTCTGATCAAGGTATGCATAAAAAAAAAGGATTTGGAAAGATGCATGTCAATAGCTATAGACATCCGATCGGGGCGGCTTTCAAACTTGAACTGCGTACACATGTTTTAGGACGACTGTGAAAGTTTCAGATCGCTAATTGAATAAAAAAACAGAAATTATAAAAATGTTTACAAAAATAAAATTTAAAATAAAAATGATTTTTTTTAAAATGCAATTCAGATTGTTTAAAAAGTGGGTTAGTCACAACTTTTAAAGTTTTGTTTAGGTTCATCTAGATGAGAATTCAATCCCGAATCCAATAAATTTTTTACTGGTTTCGATATGATGTTTAATTTTGTCAATATCTTTCCCGAAAGTTAGGAGATCTCGTAAAAATGAAAAACCGAGAAATCGAACATCAAAATTTTCGTATATAAAAATCGTAACGCTTGATCACTATTCTTCCTGTAACTTTAAAAATATTTTGAATTTGCTTCAGAAATTTTAGGGACACATTCTGGGATAGTTTGGGTAGAAAGATTTATGTCAATAGCTTTTACACTGCGCGAAATATCTTCTATTATTGGAAGTTATATCCGATTGTTCCTATGGGAGCTATAGTATATAGACATCCGATCGGGGCGGTTTTCAAACTTGATCTGCGTACACTTGTTTTAGGACGACTGTGAAAGCTTCAGATCGCTAGCTTTTAAATTGAGCTCGCAAACGGTATTAAAACAGACGGACAGACGGACATGGCTATATCGACTCCCCTATTGATCCTGATCAAGAATATATATACTTTATGGGGTCGGAAACGTCTCCTTCACTGCGTTACAAACTTCTGACCAAAATTATAATACCCTCTGCAAGGGTATAAAAATATCGAATTGAAACTTTGCACACAACCTTCGTTCCTTTGCACGCAGTATATAAGTCGGAACGGCCGGGATCGGCCGACTATATCTATAGCTGTCATATAACTGATTGATCGGAAATGCCATAACTTTGGTGTTTGTAAAGTTAGGAAGCTGGGATTTCCTATGGGTTTTATATTTGGCCAATCAATCCGACCTACAAAATTTCATAAGGATCGGCCGACTATATCCTATAGCTGTCATATAACTGAACGATTGGAAATGCCATATCTTTGGGATTTTTTATGATCATCATTTTTTATGCATCATATGAGTAATTTAGGAGAATATAATTTACAGAATAACTGTTTGAGAATATCCTTTAAAGGCTTTTTTCGATCTTAGTATTAGGCTTTAAATAGTTTATTGAGTAAAAAAATAAAAAGCTTCAAAACTAAACCATGTTGAAATTACACTTAATTCCAATTCAATAACATTTGGTCTAGATCTGAATATGTAAAAAATATTTCTGGAAATTATTTAATTTTCATTTTTGATTAAAACAAGAAAGGGATGCCACTTCGACAAGCCTAAGCTTATATATACTTCTAGCTAATAAGAGTAAAGCATAATACTCAGATCGAAAAACGAGTTCGCCAGCAAAAAAAACTTTAATCTTTTCAGTGTAACAGCATTTTTGAGAGTTGATCAGTATTGAGCGTGCTAAGGTCATACTGTCAATCAGCTGGGCTTGTTAACAAGCAGTTAAAGTTTAAAAATCGTATTTGCGCGATATAGCCTTTTAAAGATATTCTCAACTACTTTGGCAACTCATGTCTGCTGCTATACAAAGAAATTATAAAACAATATAATTTAAATTTAATAATTGTTTTTTTTTTAATTACTGATAATTATTTGGTAATTTAAAGATAATAGCTGTTCTTGAATGCGATTTTTCTGTGTTTTTGGTTGGGGTTTTCCATCCATTTTTGATCTTCGAAACACTTTGCTCTGACAACATCCACACAGATCGAAAAACGAGTTCGCCAGCGGAAAAACTTTAATCTTCCAGTGTGACAGCATTTTTGACTGTTCATTAGTATTGAGCGTGCTACGGTCAGCTGGGTTTTTAAACAAGCAGTTAAAATTAAAAAATCTTATTTGCGGGAAATAGCCCTTAGAAGATATTCTCAACTACTTTAGAAAAACAACTACTTTGGCAAGACATGTCTGCCGCTATACAAAAAAATTGGAAAACCGTATAATTTAAATTAAACAAAAAACAAATATATTGTTTTTTTAATTACTAACAAATATTTCAGTACCGGGGTGACAAAAGTGACTGACGAAAAGGGTTTGCCAGCTGTTTGCCTCTCGCTCTTTCTCATAGCTGACGAACAGATTTTCTTGTTCCGACTACTAGGCTTTAAAAGCAATAAAACTATGTCGATTGTTTTATAAATATTTCAATCATTACTATGGCATCTCGTCCGTTTTGAATAAAACTAAAACAGAATTTTTAAAAATGTTAGATCTGACTACATCTCGGAGTGGAAGTAAATTATAAAAATATTATATTTTATTATCAACAATTTTTTCGGCTATATTTATAATTGTGCTGATTTTTATAAAACTAAACAGAATTTCTTAAGATACAATATATATATGTATATCAGTGTGTATCAGTATATGTTTAAAAACAACAATGTTATTTATTTCTTAAAATTATTTTTCCGATGGCAAAGTTTCCAAAAGTTAAATCAGAAAGCTTTAAAACATAATAAGTTTGGGCAGAAAAGTATTTGGACTTAAAGTTATCTTATTTATATATGTGTTAAATTTGTATGTACTACCTAATTATTTTTTTCTTTTCAACTTCGTTTTAGAATAAAAGTATCTCTATGACAGACATGTACCTGGATAGCACAGATTCAAGTGAAAATGTTGGACAGATACATTTCTCTTTGGAATACGATTTTCAAAACACAACATTAATTTTAAAAGTTCTTCAAGGAAAAGAGCTTCCAGCTAAAGATTTAAGTGGTACTTCTGATCCATATGTTCGCGTCACCTTATTACCAGACAAAAAACATAGACTGGAGACCAAAATAAAACGCCGAACTCTAAACCCAAGATGGAATGAAACATTTTACTTTGAGGGATTTCCCATTCAAAAACTTCAATCCCGTGTAAGTATAAAAATTACCAATAAATTATGCCTCAGTGTTGATGGTGTCGGAAGAGGTAATTTTTGTAGGAGCTATTAATTAAGACTTAAATTAGTCTTCTAAACTCTTATTAAAACTATTTAACACTAAAAAAGGCTTTAGGCAGGGTGACACCGTATGACTCACTAAATAAGCTACACCATTATCCAAACGTCAACCAATAGGGCACCGATAATATTCACATACAATTGTTTATACGAGCATTAAGTAAAGCGTTTCAGAGATTTAAAAGCAGTCGAAAATCATGGGGTAAGCTAACAATATAGGATGATGACACAATTAACGTTTTTGACAGAAAAATTCTTTGTCATGGCTTTCAATTGGAAACCAAGGCAAAGCTGAGCTGATAGAACCAAGTGCGGTAAGATATTGCTAAGCTGGGTGTGGCAAACTATCCATTAAAAATTTAAATGTCGCTATAATATCCAAATGGGAGCTTAGATAGATGACAACATTTAGAATTTAAGGTTAATACTGCAGTTACATTTTCGTGTTCTGTTCATTTGCGTCCCTTTTCAATTTCATTAGCTATTTTATTTTGTGTTTGGGCCTTTTAAGCTTTGTTGTTAATGGAGTTTCTCCTTCTATTAGAGTTTGTTTAACTTTTATAAGTACTTATGAGCATGCCTAACGTGCTCTTCTCGGGATACCGGTGGTAGGCCCTTGTCTGTCCAGCTCATCATCTATGCATGTCGCGGTGTTCTGGTTTATCTATTTTTCTTCATACAAGCGTACTGAATTACTTAAACAAGGCGTGGTTTCTTTTTAAGAAAACTAAATCAATAGCTAATTGAGGGTCTACAAAAGAATCTGAATCTCTTTGACTATCAGATACCCGTTAAGCCTAGTATCCAGATCGACAAACGATTACGCTATCGTAAAAACTTTAATCTTTCCAGTGTGACCAAAAGTTTGAGAGTTCATCAGATTTAAGCGTGCTACGGTCGTACTGTCAATCAGCTGGGTTTGTTGACAAGCAGTTAAAATTCAAATATCGTATTTGCGGGAAAGAGCCTTTAAAAGATATTATCAAATACCTTGGCAAGGCAAGTCTGCCGCTGTACAAAGAAATAAAAAAAACAATACAATTTAAATTTAACAGTTGTTTTTTTTAATTTACTGATAATTATTTTCTAATTTAAAGTTCAAAGCTGAAGAGCTAAAAGTATTGTGTTTTTTCGTACATTCTGGACCTAAAAAACATTTTGCTCTGACAAGAGGCACCTCAGATAGTATTAATGTTATTTTGTCCTCACATGTAAACACCTGCAATCGACTTTTGTGAGTTTTTTGAGTTTTTCCCTCCATTTCTTATAATGTTCAGTGAGAAGCGCACGCCAAAAGATTAAATTTTTTTAGTCTTTTCGCTAGGGCTCACACAAAGTTCATTTCCGCAGACTGGCAACGCTATGGAATTTTCTGGTATTTTTTTCGTCGATCAGGGGACCGACGTGAAAAAAAGGCCCGATGAAAAGTGAACGCCAGCTGTTTGCCTCTCGCTCTCTCTCATGACTGGCGCTCGGTTTTCGTCGATCTGGATACTAGGCTTTACTCAGCAAACCAATTTTAGAATAAATATGCCCCACTGATGGCGCACCTGGACTATTTTTGGGTGGTGTCATCAGCCGAACTATCAACGAGCAATTTTCTCACTTCCTTCAATTCTCTTGAACTCCGTTTTACAAATATGCTAGGACGTCATTATTAACACGGTTTTGACATACATATACCCTATCAAGGTCTGTAAAGTGTTTGGATTTGTGAACAATAGGGCGGGCGTGTCAACATTTTGAAATAAACTAGAAACTTATTTTGATGTCGTGACGCTACAATTATATTTTTAATTTAATGCGCCAGTCACAAAAGATTCACAATTATTTAATTTAAAAAAAACATAACTTAATATTACCCATTATAATGATTAGAAAGTGCTTGTTTATTTATTTAGGTGCTTTTATATTAGTATGTTTTCGAATTGTAATGTGGATCTTATTAAATAGCTAATATTGTTAGTTCATTGAGAGGAAGAAAATTTGATAACCTATGTAAGTTATAAAAATTTTATGATCGAATACTAAGATTCCTAAGTTACCAACGATGTTATTCGCGCTTTCTGAAAATTTAAGCAGTATGGTGCAAAAATGTTGAAAGTTACTTTATCTTTTGCTGGCCTATTGTGTAATAGTTTCCAAATATTTCTAGTATTTCTTAGAAAAAAGACTGTGTTATGTATAATTTTTGTAACATTCCATATTTTCCCCCTGTAATTACTTACTTACTAACTATCACTATTACAGACATTTATACATTTATTGACTTAACTTAAAGGCGACTAATATACATCTGAACAATCAGAAAGCTGAAACCTTACTTGGAGGGCTACCATTTTAAAGTGGTTACATACCACATGACTTTAAAGTGGTTAAACAGCATAGAAAGCCCTTCTGGAAGGATAGCAAGATGGGCCCTGGAGTTACAGCAATACGACTTCGAGATAGCTTACACGAAAGGACAGCTGAATGAGGTGGCAGACGACCTGTCTCGACAACCATTGCCGGAGACTCTTAGGGGCATGAAAGACACATCGGCAAAACCGACCAATAGATGCAGCTGAATCAGGAGTATGTGCGAGAAATTAAAAGCCCAACCACAAAAATATACAGATTACGTAATGGAAGGCGAGTCACTTTATAGGCACATTCCTCACAGAGCGGGCAACGAAGATGCCGTGGCTTGGAAACTGTGCGTTCCGCAAGGTCTAAGACAAGCCGTACTAAAAGAAAACTATGACTCCCCATCCGCTGGTCATGTTGCGAGTAGAAGAACAATAGCACGCCTGGCAGCCCGGTACTACTGGCCAGGAATGCAAAGAGACGCCAGGACCCATGTACGCAAGTGTGAAGTGTGCCTGAAATACAAGCCCAATCAGCTACACCCTGCAGGGAAAATGCTCACTCAGGTACCAGAGGAACCATGGGCAAAAGTATGTGCGGATTTCGTCGGGCCATTGCCGAGATCGAAGCACGGAAATCAGATGATACTTGTGTTAATCGATCGGTTTTCCAAATGGACGGAAATTGTGCCGCTCCGAACCGCAACAGCGGAGACCCTACAGAAGGCGTTCAGAGAACGCATAATATCAAGGTACGGTGCTCCGAAGATAGCGATAATAGATTTCTGAGCGAAATGGGAATAAAGCAGCAATTCACGGGGCCCTACACACCACAGGAAAACTCAACAGAACGGGCTAACCGTACGGTAAAGACGATGCTCAATTCGCAGGAAAGGACCAGATAACTTGGGACGAGAACTGGCCACAGATTATGCTAGCAGTGAACTAAGCATATCTGAGTCAACTGGGTACTCCCCAGCGTTTCTCACACAAAGCCAAAAACCCCGTTTGCCAAACGCATTATACGACAGGGAAACGTTAGGCTCGGGGAGAATTACAGAGAAACCGGAAGAAAACGCCAACAAGTTGAAAGAGAAAAGGCATCCCAGGACCAAGCCAGACACCACAATCTGAGGAGGAGGCAGTGGACACCAGCGGTGGGCGGCATAGTGTGGGCCAAAGAACACCACCGGAGGCATTCGCTGCGAAACTAGCCCCGAGGTATGATGGTCCTTACCAGGTTATGGATTTCGTCTCTCCAGTGATCTGCAAAATACGACACAAACATTCAAAGAAAGAGCGGACGGTTCACGTTGGCGAGCTTAAGCAGCAACAAACAGAAACGGCAAACGAGCAGACTGAGGACGCATCGACACACATTACCCACAAGGACATGAGGGGAAATGGATGCTAGGGACCCTACTACGAGGCAGACGGATTCGGCGTCGCGTATAAGTCCTAGTCATCCATCGATACACCGCGTAGATAAGGTGTAACAAAAAAAAAGGGGACCAATACAACGAGGCAGTCGGATTCAGCGTCGAGCATACGCCCGAGTCATCCGCCTATACGCCGCGTGTTATAGGTTTATACAACACGAGCAGCAACACCAAACCAGTAGCGTTGGTAGACTCCATATAAAAACAAGAAAGGAAAGCTAACTTCGGGCGGAGCCGAAGTTGAAATACCCTTGCAGAATATTCTGCAAATTATATTCTCCAAAATTATTAATATGATGCATTCTTAATACTCATAAAATCCCACCTTCCTTACTTTAAAAACACCAAAAATATGGCATTTCCAATCGTTCAGTTTTATGGCAGCTACAGGATATAGTCGGCCGATCCATATGAAATTTGATATGTCGGATTGATTGGGCAAAAATAAAATCCCAACTTTCTAACTTAACAAACACCAAAGTTATGGCATTTCCGATCAATCAGTTATATGGCAGCTATAAGATATAGTCGGCCGATCCTTATGAAATTTGGTAGGTCGGATTAATTGGCCAAATTTAAGACCCATAGAAAATTCCAACTTCCTAACTTTACAAACACCAAAGTTATGGCATTTCCGATCAATCAGTTATATAGCAGCTATAGGATATAGTCGGCCGATCCTTATGAAATTTGGTACGTCGGATTGATTGGCCAAATATAAAACCCATAGAAAGTCCCAACTTCCTAACTTAACAAACACCAAAGATATGGCATTTCCGATCAATCAGTTATATGGCAGCTATAGGATATAGTCGGCCGATCCCGGCCGTTCCGACATATATACTGCGTGCAAAGAAAAGAAGGGTGTGTGCAAAGTTTGAATTCGATATCTTTAAAACTGAGAGACTAGTTCGCGTAGAAACAGACAGACGGATAGACAGACGGACAGACAGACGGACAGACAGACGGACAGACGGACATGGCTATATCAACTCAGGAGGTGATCCTCATTTACGAGCTGTGAGCGTCGAGGGAAACATTCGGAGGAGCAGGAGGACTCGAAGGCTACAAGGATTTACAAGGAAGACAAGAAAATCAAGTCTATGGGGGAAACATCTTGGGGCGCGAAC